TCAGAATCTCTGATCTTTAAACCAAGTTAAAATGAAGGAAATTAAGGGCCCACTGATGCTGTGCTTCATTTTTCCCCTTGCCTCTTTCAAATATGATTTCTTGCAAATTAGGCAGGAAGATTATACTATTCTGATACCACCCAGGACATCTTCTGGAAGATGGGGAGGGAGAATTTTGGATAGAGATAGGAGATCTCATACAGGCAAAAACTGGGGGCTGAAGCTAGCAAACCTTGTCCAGGTTTGGAAATGTTCCTTCCAGGACACTGTAGGGAACATTTTCCCCTAAACAGCCTCCAATGGAAGCTCCACAGATGGAAAACCCTCTCCAAACAGAATCAAAACAGTAATTTTTTTTAAATGGTAAAAAAAAGAAAAAAACCTGAAATTCTAAAAGACTATTTTTAAAATGGTAATAATCCCTTAATCAGCCACTGGCAGGGACTATGGTATTTGGTTCAGACATTTTACCAATTACAACCCACTGGGTCCCTGCATGGTGCTTTCTAAATAATCAAACCCAGCTCTTAACAGTCACTCGCCCAGACAGGAAGAGAAAGAACAAAACCAAATCCAAATGAGAAGATGCCATTACTAAGGAAAGCCCAGCCCAGCGGGTCACCAGGAGCCAGGCGCCATCCTGGTTTGGAGCAGGTGGCAGCAAGTTAAGGTGTTTTGATTTGGGGGCTTAGGGATTCCAGGAAAGTGAGAAAATGCAGGATTGGGAGACCCATGAGCATGGACTCGGGAGTCAGACAAGCCTGAGTGTGAATTCCAGCTCTGCGCCCAAAGTCCTTGCTATTTGTGGACTTGGGCCAAGCTCCTTAGCAACCCTGAGCTTTGGTTCCCTCACTTGTCAAGTGGGAGTTTTATCTACCTTGAAGGGCTGCCCTCCAGATCAGAACTGACCTGTGCAAAGCGTGCATGTGTTGTCTGTGGTCCCAAACAGTTCCTCAAGAGATGTTATATCCCTGCTCTGTGTCACTCTCCCCTCCCCTGCCAGCATCACGGAGGATGGAGCTGGGAGAAGAGTACAGCAGTGATACTGACATACCCCTGACATCCCTCCTACCCTGGAAGAGAAGCCCAACTAATTATCAGTCCCTAAACCATCTCCTCATCCTGTAATATTCAGGGGAAGGACACCTGTCAAGAGGCGAAGACCGGGCTGGTGATTGGAATGGGACCCGGGGACCGGAGCTGCAGAGCCACATCTGTGCTCACGATATATCCTGCAGACTCTCACTGCTACTCACGGAACCTGAGCCAGACAGGCGAGCAGCAAGACGGTCACCAGATTAGTTGAAGGGAAATGGGTAACAGAAGAGGATTACTGTGATGCACTTTATAAGCCCAATCAAGGATGTGTGTCCCTTGGGGTAGCCGAAGGTCAAAAACCCAGCATCCTACTTAATGGTCACTTCTGCAGCAGGTTCCATTCAACATAAGCTCAAAAAAGATGAGGGTGGGACACAGGGGAGGTCAAGCCTATTCTTAGAGGCTGCAGTGTGCATTTGTCAAAGGTGAGCCTGTGGGCTGGGGCTCCCCTGATGGCTCAGTGGGTAAAGAAGGTGGCACAGTGGTAGAGAATCTGCCTGCCAGTGCAGGAGACGGGGGTTCAATCCCCAGGTCAGGAAGATCCCCTGCAGGAGGAAATGGAACCCACTCCATTATTCTTGCTTGGAAAATTCCATGGTGGGCTACACTCCATGGGGTTGCAAAGACTCAGACACGACTGAGCACGCCGAGCGCAGCCCATAGACCACCAGCATGGTAATCATCTATCTGGGAGCTAGTTCAGAAGGCGCAGGCTCCTGGGAAGCCCCCAGTTTTACTAACTCCATGTATAACTGGAGGGCTTAGGAACATGCATTTGAAGGCAAGCACCATGGGTCATTCTTGCACACACCTGGGTTTGAGAAGCCCTACCCTCCACCAATAGTAGGTGCTGTGGAAGATGGGGCAGCAGCCGTCTCTGAGCAGAACCCCTTGCTGAGCTGGGCTGGGCTGGGCTGGGTCGCGGGCTGGGTGCCAGTGGCTGGAGATGCTGTCTCCTAATGACTCAGCCCGGCAGCTGGGAGAAGCAGCCTGAGTGGCGGCTGGTGGAGAAGCGGAGGAAGGTGAAGAGGCACTCCGAGGCTAATGAGCTGTTCTTCAAGTGGAGGGTGGGATCAGGGCCAACAGCCAACTCTGCCACGGCAGGTGTCGCCTGGTAGAAGTGGGCTCGTTCTGGGGAGCATTAGAAAGCAGGGCTGAAGGCCAAGGGAAGTTTTTCAAAGCCTGAGCCTGGGCTTTCTGTGGAATGAGTCTGGGTTTGGCATCCTCGCTGTTCTCCTAACTTCTGTTTTTCTTATCCACTCTTTTTCCTGACCCTGTTTTACTATTCCTGTAGCCCTTACCTCCACTGATGTATTATATAGTATTTGTTTGCCTCCTGTCTGTCTCCTACTGGAATGCAAGTTCCACGGAAGCAGACACTAAGCCCATTTTTAAACCTTGTCTAGAAGGCAGCCTGGAACATTATAGGAACTCTCTCTCTCTCTCTATATATATATATATATATGTATATATGTATATACATACACACACACACACACACACACAAATATATATAGATGATGATGATGATTTAGTAGCTAAGTCATGTCTGACTCTTGCAACTCCATGGACAATAGCCCACCGGGCTCCTCTGTCCATGGAATTCTCCAGGCAAGAATAGTGGGTTCTTTTCAATAGTGGGAGTGGGTTGACATTTCCTTCTCCAGGGATCTCCCCAACCCAGGAATCAAACCTGGGTCTCCTGCACTGCAGGCAGATTCTTCACCACTGAGCTACGAGGGAAGCCCATTGTATATATTGAAAAAAATGAATAAACGTTCCTTATTTCACATCCCCCACTGGGACTCAGGAAGTCAGCCTGACAATTTTCCTACAGATGGGCGGCTTCATTTGTTGGGGAATTATGCGCCCAAGGGCACGATTTGAGTTTAATAACCTGAAATTGCACTTATTTTTTCCATGTCAGTCTCTCTTGCCAGACTGTGGGCTCTCTCAGTGCAGGAACTGTGCGTTTTCCATCGTGTTTCCTCCATGCCCAGCCCAGTGCCTGACACGCAGGACAGACTCACAGTCTCTGACAGCCGTGAAATGACCATTCTGTGATCCTCCATCCCATAGTTTCTGACTGCCCACGTCACTCCCTCCCCATTTGGGAAGTTATGAAAAACAGTCGCTGATGTCATTGCTTCAAGATCACGGCGCTCCGGCCCTGAGCTAACAGCAGTCGTTAACATAGCTCCCCTCTCAGTCTGGGACGCTTGCCTTTTACTTTATTGTCTTCCCAGAAGGGTGATCTGCCCTTGCAGTCGAGCATAATTGCTTTCCTCCTAGAAGGAACTCCACTGGCCCTGGTGAGACAGGCTGAATCAGAGTCTCTCAGACACAGGGACCAAGTAGAAGGATGCAGGTGTGATGGTCCTTCCAGCACAGCCCAGGGTGTCACCCAGATCACCTTTGGGGTCTGTTCTTGGGTCCTCCATGAGGTCTACCCAATCAGACTCTTGTGGGGTGGAGTCTAAAAAATCTGCACTTTCCACAAATTGCCAAGGTGATTCTGATGCATAATTTGTCATAATGGTTAAGAACTTGGGCTTCAGAGTCAGAGGTGCTTGAATTCAAAACCAGCTGCCATGACTACATTGTTCAAGACCAAGTCAGTCAGTCAGTCTCCTGGAGCCTCAGTTTCCTCACTTGTAAAATGGGGATTAATAAGAAGTAACTACTTTGTGGGATTAAAAGGGAAAATATGAATGATGTACTTTGTGTGGTAAACGGCTCATGGTTAGAGTTTAATGAATGAAAACCCCTATGATGATGATAGTGGTAAGTAGTAAAAATGATAGAGATGGTGGTGGTGGTTGAAGATGATGGTAGTGGTGGTGAAGATGATGGTGAAGATGGTGGTGATGGTGGTGGTGGCAGTGGTGAAGGTGTTGGAGATGGTGACAGTGATGCTGAAGATCATAGTGACGGTGGTAGTGATGGTGAAGATCATGGTGATTGTGATCATGAAGATGATGGTGATGGTGGTGGTGGTAAAGATGATGGCAGTGGTGGTCAAGATAGCAGTGGTGGTGTTGGTGAAGAAGAATATGATGATGACGATTCTTCATAATCTCCTGAAAGGTTATTCTGCAACCTCTTCAGTGGTATGTTCCCTTAGCCACTCTGTCAGGAGGCTCTTCAATATGTCTGCTTCCTGCTATAATTAGTGCATAATTTTCTAGTTCTAATGTTTTCCTAAGGTTGGAGAAAGGCTACACTGAGAATAAAGAATTTACTATTACAGTGATGGAGAGGTTGGGAGACCTTCAGAGAGGCACTTGGAGTGACTGCCAGAATCCCTGTTTCCTCTGATGTAAGAGAATTGGAGGAAAGGAGAGTCAGAAGGTTAATGGAGGAGGATGAAAAAGGCGGGGTGAGTTGAAAGGAGCTCCAGAGGACGAAGCATCCCTGAGTTGGACAGGGAGCAGCCTGGAGAGGAGGGGTGTGATTGGCATGGCAGGGGGGCGGAGGTGGGTTGGTCAGAAAAGAGCTGACAGGAGAGAACAGAACCCTGAAGGGATTCCTCAAACCCCATGGGATGGGATCTGATCTGTATGTGACTAGCAAGCAAGGTGGAAACTAACACTGGGTCCAGGACTAGGGCTAGATTCAGGAAGTAGAATAATCCACATGGTAGAATTCCCTCCTTAGACAATGCCCCCTCTCTGCCCTCTCCTGCTATGAAGCACAGCTGCCTCCCTCTTGGTGATCTGCTGAGGCTGTGACCCCTGATCCACACTGGCTGATCCTGGTGCGGGAAGAGGAGAAGCCTTGCACGGGACACCACCTGCTGCTCTGGGGGTGACAGCGGGAGGCCATCCCGAGTGCCAAGGAGAAATGGGCTGGGGATAGAGACAGGGGCAAGGAGGAGGGATCTGCCAGCAGGCGAGGCTCACCTGCTGGAAACCATTCCTTGTGAACTGCAAGATTTTCAGGGCATAGTTGGACCTCTGGCCTTTGCTGTTGAATTCAATGTGGCCGGTGAGACCTTCCAATTCTACCTGTCCAAGAGAGAGTGAGTTACAGCACCAAATAGGCCCAGCCTTCCATGTGGCCCAGAGCAAGCATTCCACCATACTAGCGAAGGATGCACAAGAGAGGGCAAGCCGTCAAGACCCATTCTCCTGTCCTCCTCTCGGCCACAGGATCTTGAGACTGTGAAAGTGATGTCTCTGGAACCAGTTCAGACTTGGCCGGGGCTGGAGGAGGAAAGGATGCCCCACACCCGGTGACCTCATAGCTGCTGCATAAACCAACTCAGTACTGAGATGCTAGCTTAAGCTCAGATCCCCTGGAGCTGCTCCTCCACGCCCTTGGCTGTGAATAGCATCAATCCTCCTTGGGCAGCTGCTCACCCATCTCTAAGCTGCAGGAAGTCAGGATGACCTGACTCTAGCTGCAAAGTCCCAGCCACTCTGCACCAGGTTTCTCTGATGGGAGATGGCTTTTTTCTGGGCTAGAATCCAAGTCCATCCCACCAGTGGTGTCTTGGCTGGGAGAACTCTGTGGGAACTTAGCATCAGGTCAGAAGTGCTGAGCCTGTGACTCCCTGAGGGGCCACCAGCCATGGCAGCATCATCCATCCATCCCCACACGTGCAGAGCTTTGCGGGGACCGGGTCTGAGCCCAGGGGGGTCCCAGTTCAAAGCCAAGAGTCCAGGGACCACCTAACAGTCTACAGCTCGAGGGCCAGTGCCCTGCAAACAAACTTGCCATGGATTCTCAGTGGTTTTTAGGGATTAGGGACAACTGGGACTGACGGTCCCCTGAATGGGGTCACCACGGAGCATTGTTTTACCTATGGCTGTGATACACTGGGGATACACTGTGATAGACTGCCCCCTCTGCCCCTGGCAGGCTGGGCGTGGCCCGCAGGGTCCCCACCGCCACTCACCATGCGCAGGTAATTCATGAGGCTGGTGCCGTGCTGCCAGATCTGGGCCGAGCCACAGGACAGGGGCTTCACGCCGATCTCCTGGCTGCGGTTCAGCTCTTGCACCGCGGTCACCACAGCATAGACGGCGTCAAACAGCAGGGCCGAGGACAGCTGAGGCGGAGAGACAAAGTGGTGGGTACAAAGGAGGGAAAGGAAAAGGAGGAGGAGGAGGAAAAAGCAAAACAAAGAAGAAGTGAGGGCATGTCTCTGATGCCCTGGGTCCACCTCTCCCTGGAGGCGTGCAGACACACAGCTCGCCACGCCATTTCTCGCATCCTCCCACCAGGCCCCAAGCTCTTTCCTGCCACATGGTTGCTGCTTCCCACGTCGTCTGGGATGCGGTTGTCTTGGCTGATGCTCCCTCATTAGCAAACGATCCAGATGCCGAGAGATCGGTATGTGCCTATCTGCAGTATTCTCTGGCATTTGGCCTTTGAGATTCTTCAGGTGCTTGTAAGTAATTACAACTCCAACAAGGGATGCTGGGGATGAGGAGGAGGAAGAGGATGGAAGGACCATCCTCAAGGTCCCTGTCTTCTATCTGTATCTTGTTTTCAGAGAGGTGACCCAGGTGATGTATCCCCAGCGTGCTCTGGGCTTCATGAGTCCTTTCTGTGGTCCAGCTTGGGCTGCTTTCAGCTCCTGAAACCTCCTAAGCCCTGAACATCTTCTTTTCCCAGCTTAGTCTCCAAGGGTCCTCCGTCTGTCACCAGACAGCTCTTCTCTCCCAGGTTTCTGGCAATCAGCCCAGGTCTCTCAGTGGGATCCTCCAGCAGCTTCTCTGAAACCTTGTGTTCCATCCACACTCCTCCAGCTTATTCTTTCCACCCCATCCCCCATCACCAATTTCACCTCGGAAGGTGTGAGAGCCTGATATCTAACTTCTGGCTCGTCAGCTTTTCCATCCCACTGCAGGTCTCCATCCCGAAGCATCTTTTCAATCTCCCAATTGCTTTCTCCCTCTACCATTATTTACTAATTTAGCTCTGGAAAGCATTTGGCACTGCAGTTGGGGCAAGTCCTGTTACCCAACTAGCGCTCCATCCAAGTTTCCACTCCTGGGTCTGCAAAGCCCACCATCCCTGCTCCTTCGCGTCTTCCATCCTATTTCCCTTTCGGAGCCCTCGCTGTCTTTCTGTGGCTTCTGTTCCCCATCCATGTGGGCATGCCTCTAGATCCTGTCTCTGCTTCTCCTCTCCTTGTCTCTTCTAAATATTAAACCCCCCAAACAACTCAATCCTCATTTAAAATCCTCTCCTCTTTCTTGGCTCAAAATGTTCCTTGGCAAACACCCGCGATTCTCTTGTTTTTATATTTTCATTTGTTTCTTCATTGCTATCTTCTTTGAAGCTGTTTGTAAATTGTTTAGGGGAATGAAAGACTGTATAAATTAAGATGAATCAATCTGACTCAATAGCAGCTGAATTTCTCCCCCATCCATCAGAATAAGAATAAGAGTATCTTTCAAACACACCACTATAACCCTTATCTCCCCCACCCTCCCCCAGATCACTGGATTCCTGGAGTCCTCTTGGGTGTCCGTTTGTCTCTGAACTTCTGTCGCTTAAACTCTGATCCTCAGCATAATTCCAGGACAGAAACCATTAAAATTTCATGGAATAGTTCTTACAATCTGGGTTTTATTCAATGAAATAAACACTTAATTACAAACAGCTGTTTTAGCCCAAATTCTAATTACTTAATCTAGCCATCTGTAATTTTAATGATTTTCTACGATTTTTGTTCTTTGCTGCGTGATGAATGGGAGTGGCATATGAAATTAGCAGGGACGTGTTCAAGACTGTCTTCTGCTCAGGCAGGAAGCATGGCTGTGGTTTGCCGGCAGCCGCCAGGCAGGCACGGCCTGGTGGGGGCAGCACTGAGCACTTTTATCTATTTATTATTTTTTTTTTTGGTGGTCACCCTTCTGTACAGCCACTACCTATCTGTGCCCTTGGAACTGGGCCCCCATTCCAACAAGCTCCACCTGGAACATCATGGGCCCCCAGGGAAGATGAGGAAGAGAGGGAGACACACTCCAGCTGGGAGAAAAAGATGAGAAGAAAATGCAAAGAAAATGTGGAGTACGGGAGAGAAAGACCAGAAAGAGCAAGAAGGGGAGGAGGTTATAGTGACAGAAGAAAGTGGGAAGGGCAGAGTGAGGGGGAGGAGGTGAGAAGGGAAAAGAGAACAGAACTGATGGAGGAGGAGAGGACAGCGGAGGAAAGAGAGAGGAGGAGAGTGGTCCCTCCCAGATGGAGCATCTCTTTAAGGAGCTGAGCGGGGAGACAAACCGGGTTGTGCATTCCTGGAGCTGATTCTTTCTCGCCTTCCAGCTCCCGGCAGATGAAGGAGCTAGGCTGTTTGTGCTAGGAATTTCTGCCCCCAAAGAGACAGGAAGAGGCACCGCTTTTCAAAAGGTAGGTGCTGAAGCGAGAAGCCTTGAGAAAGATGAGCTTCACGTTCGTCAAGGGGAGGAGTTCCTACATCACCTCCCCTTCAGACACCGTGGCTGGAAGGTTCTATAAGCTAGAGTCCAGGTTTCGCTGTGGCACCGTCCTCTGGAGGTCCTCCGCAAGGCCCCCTGGCACTCCTGCACCTGTTTTTTCATTTGTTCAACAAGGGGAGCATGACTGCTCTTGTCTGTTATTAGGGTCCCATGAAGAGGAAGAAGAGGTCCAGGTGGGATTATTCCAAGCATCAGTGGCTCAGCATTCTATCTGTTCTCACTCCTTGACTCTTGAGTCTGTGCATGTGGCCTTTTTGGCCAACAAAATGAGCTGGAAGTGACAGTGCGCCCATCCTGGGAGCCTAGGACTCAGACGTCTTGTGCATTTCCACTTGCTTTGCCACCCTCCTGCCACCACCATGAGAGAACATGCCAGGCCAGCCTGCTGGGCTAGAAGGATGAGAGCTATGCGGAGCCCCAGCCTGCATCAGCCGACTCCTAGGCATTGAATGAGCTCAGCCCAGATCAACAGAGCTGCCCAGCTGAGCCAGCTTAGATGAGCTGATCCCTGGTTGACCCTCAGATGCACGAGCTCCATAAATGTTTATTGTTGTAAGCTGGTGAGATCTGAGGGCTGGTTGTTATAAAGCTGGTGTTGCAAAAGCTACCTGATACACTTACTAACACTTCTTGAAATATCCGCCAGATAAAATGTTAAATAAGTTCATTCAATGCATGTAGTGGAAGAAGTGGTGAAATGTTAGTCACTCAATCGTGTCCTACTCTTTGTGACCCCCCCAGACTGTAGCCCGCCAGGCCCCTCTGTCCATGGGATTCTCCAGGCAAGAATACTGGAGTGGGTAGTCATTTCCTTCTCCAGGGGATCTTCCCAACCCAGGGATTGAACCTGGGTCTCCTGCATTTCAGGCAGATTCTTTACTGTCTGAGCCACCAGGGAATGGTTCTTAAAGTATCCAGCAGATGGAATGTTAAATAAATTAATTCAATGCATATCTGTACTTTATACATTATGCAGTAAAATTGAGGATGGAATCATATTGCATTTTATCTTCACAATAATCCTCTAAGATGGTCAAACCTAATTCTCCAAAATGACAGGAAAAGAATCTGAGGCCCAGGAGGGTTACATAGCTACCCAAGGTCACACAGCAAGAGAACGGCAGAGCCAGAATTTGAATCCAGGTCCTGTGCCTCCAAAGCCAGTGCTCTTGTCAGCACATGTGAGCACAGCCAGAGCCGGTCCCACAGCCCTGTGAGTGGCCCCGCCTGGCCTGGGTGTCGGGTGCTCATGAGCAGGTACCCAGCACCGCCCATCTGCCAGTCTGTGGTCAATATGCACACAAATGGAAGGGCTGAAACCCTCGGAGGGACACTGGCAATGTGGCACCAGGACCTTTAATGTTACTAGGCCAGATGCCAAATGTGGACTGGTTTGGGTTGGAGGGGAGGCAGCAGGTGTTGCCTCCTCTTAGCTCAGTTGGTGAAGAATTCGCCTGCAGTGCAGGAGACCCCATTTCGATCCCTGGATTGGGAAGATCCCCTGGAGTAGGGATAGATTACCCACTCTAGCATTCTTGGGCTTCCCTTGTGGCTAAGCTGGTAGAGAATCTGCCTGCAAATTCGGGAGATCTGAGCTTGATCCCTGGGTGGGGAAGATCCCCTGGAGAGGAGAATGGCAACCCACTCCAGTATTCTTGCCTGGGAAATCCCATGGACACAATAACCTGATGGGCTACAGTCCATGGGGTCACAAAGAGTCAGACACAACTAAGTGACTTTCACTTCACTTCACTTCACTTCACTTCCTGATACCGTGCTATGAGCCTCTGAAGCATGTCAGCACCTCTTTACAACACTGGAGTGATGAGTGCAAGACCCACGGACAAGACCGGGGGCACAGGGCTGCACTCCTCCCAGGAGGGGTGAGCCTGGTCCCACCCACGACCCTATGCCTGAGGACTCGTCACTGCCCCTTAAGCAACTGGGGGTGAGGACTCCCTTCCTCCAGGTGTTTGGCCGCAGCAAATCCTTCCTATGGCAGCTTCCCTCTTTCAGGTCTAAAACACCCTGCTAGAATGCGCTGGGTAACCCTGAGAACTTTCTAGCTCAAGTTCTCATGCCTCCTTCCCTCAGCTGGTTCCCTGATCAAAGCTCCCTGAGCTTTGAAGAGTTCTGACCTTTGGAAAGTTATGTGAGTATCACATGAACAGCCTCGTGGGGCTTCGAGAGGCTTAAATCTAACCCGGCTAGGACAGATCTAGAAAGCCATGCAAGCCTACTTCCAGAGAACGTGCCTTGTAATAAATGAAAGTGAGCAGACACCCCTGACAGGCCCCACAGAGCAAGGACATTGGTCCCGGTGGAGAACAGCCAGGGGAATCTCTGCCTCCATCACACACACACACACAGGGGAATGAAGTGCAGGGAGGAAAAACACAGGTGAAGGCACAAAGGAAGCCTCTCTGGACGAGCTGCACTGGGGGCAGTGGTCCACGGCACAGGACCAGGAATGTCAGAATCGAGTTTCACTTGCAAAAGGCTTGGTGTTTGCCCTTGAACAAGATCCCCACATCCCCTTCCCTCATCTCCATGCCTGGGCTTCAGTCTATCTGAGAGCTGAAGGAACAGATCAGCTAAAGCCCTTCCAATGTAAGATTCTTGGATCCTAAATTCAGGGGGTCTTAGCAACAGCATCATCAGGGGTCTGGCCACAGACATCACTAAATGACAGTCTGGGTCCTCCCTGCTGACTTCTCCCCCAAAGTGTCTCTTGTAAGCACTTTCCAGCACTTGTATGATCTAGTTTTTTTTTTTTTCTTTCTTTCTTTATTTATTTATTTATTTATTCATTCACTACGTGAAGTGAAATGATCTAGTTTTGAGCTGGGCCTGGAGAAGGCTGGAGTCCAGGATGGGTTGTATTTGGGGGGAGGGGCTGGCTCACAGAGGGGGTGAACGTGGCAGCGAAGGGGCACCAGGGAGGGGCCTGGTGGGCACTTACTGCGGGCCCCGTGAAGGGCACGTGGTCACAGTTCTCCTGCCAGGACTGATTGAGGCTCTGCGCAAACTCTTGGAAGAAAGCGTGGGACTGGTTGAAGATGGAAAAGCCCAGAATGTTGACACGATCGTCCACGAGGCCGTCCATCCTCTGGAGCGAGAACTCCTGAAAGACGCAGCAGGCAGAGCGGAGCAAGGTTAGGAAGGGCAGGATGGGGTGGGCTCTGCGGGGGGCACAGCTGGGGAGTGCATCCTTGGCGATGGACACCATTGCCAAGTGCTCTGCTGGGTGTCAGGGTCCAGGGATGAGAGAGTTCTTCCTCAAATAGCTCACAGTGTAGGGGTGCAGGGAGGGAGAAAAGAGAAATAAGTAAAATGATCTCTAAGAAAGGCAGGTGTACATTGCTCTGGCTGGAGAAAGAAAGAAAAACACGAATGAGCTGGTGGAGGCAGGATGGTGTGTGCATAAGCTGTGACCCATGAGCTGTCTTGAAGGATGCTTAGGCATTTTCTGGGTGGAAAATGTGAGTGGACCAAGGCTATTTCAGACAGAAGTCGCCATGGATACAAAGGCCTGGAGGTGAGACAGTGTGTGGGCACCTGTGGTATACTTTCACAGAAGCATGGCTCTTCAAAGTGTGTCCACAGAACACCTGCCGTCAGACTCACCTGGGTATCTTTTTTAAAAAAATGATGATGCCTGCAATCCACCTAATACCAACTGAATCCATACCTCAAAAGCTGAGGCCCAGGACCTGGTATTTTTAGCAGGGTCCAAGGTCATATGCACATCAAAGTTTGAGAGTCACTGGGTCAGAACCAGGATATGTGAGGGTGAGATGACCATGAAAGATGGAACAGGAGATGTCAGCGGGGGCCAGAGCACAGGGCTTGGTTCCTGGGTCGGGGACCTTGCACTTTATCCTAATAGTGATGGGACCTGACGGCTCAGTCAGCCGAGGAGTGAGAAGATCAAGTTGTATTTCTAAGAATCTCCACCTGAACATCTGCAGGTAGGGCTGTGCCTTCATTTTATTATTTTTTATTCATTTCACAAATATTGAAGTGCTAATTACGTGCCAGACACGGGCACAGAGGATGTTCTAGACACGGAGTATATATGAACAAGAAACACATTTCGTGATGTCCCGGAACTTGCAGGTTAGGGGACGAGACAGACTGTAAGCAAACAAACACACACACTGGTGGACAGGGCTTCCCCGGTGGCTCAGCAGTAAAGAATCTGCCTGCAGTGTGGGAGACACAGGGAGACAGTTTCGATCCCTGGGTCAGAAAGACCCCCTGGGGAAGGGTATGGCAACCTGCTTCAGTATTCTCGCCTGGAGAATTCCAAGAACAGAGGAGCCTGGCGGGCTACAGTCCATGAGGTCACAGAGTCGGACACAACTGAAGTGACTTAGCACACAGCCGCTGTCAGATATCTATGGGGGGTTAGGGTGGGGGTTGCTCCCCAAGATGAGGCAGCTGGGGAAACCCCACGTGGGACAGTGGCATTTAGACACTCAAGGGAATTCTCCCAGGATGTGTGGTCCTCACCCAATCACCTGGCTGGAGCCATGGTTTAACTCAGCTAAAAGCTGCAGGCATGAGTCTCATGGAGGCCAGTTAGTGTCACAGGGAGAAGCACCCCTATCTCAGGCAGGGCTGAGGTCAGAGCCCTGGACCCCCAAAGTCCCCCTGGTCCTCTACAGGGAAACCAGGCAAGAGAGTGTGGGCTATTCAGCTCACCAATCCCTGCTCCTGAAATAACGCCTTCACATGCAGGTCAGGTCATCCTTGTGCACTGAATTCACATTCATCACACATTTATTCCACATGCCTCGCACACAGCTCTGCACCCTCTGGGTCCATGGTCGTCAGACCCCAGGACTAACCCATCAGTCACTCCGTCTGACATGACAGATGGCAGGTGCCGTGGGCTTGCTTTGTAGCCGAGCAGAAACACGGCTCTTCTTCAGGCAGCCTCCTTGTTTTAAGACTTAGTTCCTCCAGGCCCCTGTCACGTCCCCGGCAAACTCACTCACTCACATCCACGGCCACGGCCAAGCCCTCGGGCCATGGGCCTGCGCTCTGCCCGGAGTCCAGCCTCATTAGCTGCAGCATGCAGACTAAAGTTACAAAGATGCCTTTGGAGTCACCAAAGGCTAACAGCATGGAGTGGGATGAGGATTAAGCGTCTTTTGGATCCTGCCACATCCCCGTCAGGGGAACCCGGACGTGTCAGAGAATGTATTGATTCATAAGCTGGTATGTCTTCCCGTCTCTAACAGGGCAGCTGCCCATGCGCTGTGGGCTATCAGCAGACACGAGGGGGCAGATGGCTAATGAGGAAAGAGCATCTGGCAAGGGGGAGTGGAGGGGTGCAGAGCCAGGCTGCTGTCAGGCGACCGAGGGGCCTCCCCAGCTGTGGTTGGTGTGGGGGGAGCTGGAGATGTCCCCTCTCCCTCAGCTTCTGTGTCAATGTGGGCAGCTCATCACCACCACCACCCCCTGCCCCATCCTCACAAGCACAGCAGGGTGGAAGAAGGCCCATTTCAAGGAATCCCTGATAGCTCAGTTGGTAAAGAATCTACCTGCAATGCCGGAGACCCCGGTTTGATTCCTGGGTCAGGAAGATCCCCTGGATAAGGGATAAGCTATCCATTCCAGTATTCTTGGACTTCCCTTGTGACTCAGTTGGTAAAGAATCCACCTGCAATGCGGGAGACCTGGGTTTGATCCCTGGGTTGGAAAGATCCCCTGGAGAAGGCTGGAGAAGGGAAAGGTTACCCACTCCAGTATTCTAGCCTGGAGAATTCCATGGACTGTATAGTCCATGGGGTTGCAAAGAGTTGGACATGACTTAGCGACTTTCACTTGGACACCTTGATGTCTAAACTCACAGTGGCAGTAGGGGGACACATGTAAGTGCTTCGGGTTCAAATCCAGATGCTGCACTATACTGCCATGTATGATCTGGGCTTCAGATCAACAACAATGACAGCAATCTCAGAGGCTGTTCAAGGAACAAGTAATAGGCACGCACCAGGTGCATCACCTCTGGCACATAAGGCATGTTCAACATGTGACAGCTACGAACATGCTACCACCAGATTGTGGGCAGCTTCTCGCTTCCTACTTCTTTAGTTCCAGTTGTCTTGGAAACCTGAGTTCAGAAGGTGTTTCCTTGAAATACATGACCCGAGCTGAGTAAGAATGAATGAATTAATTACAGACACTTAGAGACAGCCCCTCCCAAAGCCAGACAAACTGTCTTCCTGCCTTTTAATAACTACCTTCTCATCCTCCAATTATATCCTATTTTCAAAGGCCCCCTTAAGATAAAAAGATCCAGGAGCTTCCATGATAATCCATCCTATTTATAACGACTCATGGGAGAGCTTGTGAAAGGACAAGAAAGGGGTGGAGTGTTCTTTTATTGTAATTTCCCAGGACACTTCAGGCTTCTATTCTCTAAGCATCTTCACTGTTAGGAAATGCTTCTTTCTGTCTAAACTTACACTCTTCTGCTGCTGCTGAAGCTTGGTATCTAAGTGAAAATGGGAAACAGCTGCCCACTGCCAGTTTGTACACACAAAAAAATCTTCTAAGTTCTAGTATTTCCGAAAGTGTATTTCTCAGGACACTAGCTTTTCTGGGAAGTGTTTCAAGAAGAAGTTTCAAGAAAACAAGGTTCCATGTTCAAATAAGTGGAGCAAACATGGCATATTCTAACCACATTTTCAAGAGTTACAATGCACACTAGCATATTAAAGGGTTAAAGAAGTCCTACTGTAAAGCAGCTTAATTTTGTTTAACCTGGGACTTCCTAAACTCTAACCATGGAACACTTCCCCCACCAAACCTACGGATGTCCTGCAGGAGTGTTCTATAGACTGTGCAGTGGGAAATGCTGTTTTAAACATGCTACATAGTCATGTACAGATGTGAGAGATGAACCATCAAGAAGGCTGAGTGCTGAAGAATTGATGCTTTCGAACTGTGGTGCTGGAGAAGACTCAAGAGTCCCTTGGACAGCAAGGAAATCAAACCAGTCGATCCTAAAGGGAATGAACCCTGACTATTCACTGGAAGGACTGATGTTGAAGCTCCAATATGTTGGCCGCCTGATACAAAGAGCTGAAACACTGGAAAAGATCCTGATGCTGGGAAAGATTGAGGGCAGGAGAAGAAGGGGTGACAGAGGATGAGATGGTTGGATGGCGTCACTGACTCAATGGACATGGGTTTGAGCATTTGATGGTGAAGGACAGGGAAGCCTGGCATGCTACAGTCCATGGGGTCGCAAAGAGTTGGACATGACTTAGCAACAACTGAACAACAATTCTAAACATATTTAGGGAAACATGTATCATAATCCCCAAATCGAGTGATAGGGACATTTGCCTGACAGGGTGTTATATAAAATCAACCAGTTTCAGGATGAGAGGGGAGCACAGGCCCTCTGGCTCCAGCTTTCCACCAGGAGCTCTAGCCAGGAATGCACCCTGGCCTCACCCAGGCGTTCTGTGCTTCCTAGGTGTGTTCCCTGGCTGACTGTGACCTTAACTGGAATGACAAAGTGTTAGGAGCCCTGGGGTAGATCAGGTTCTCATGGGGACCTTGATTCTCTTCTTATAAATGTCCTGGGGAGGGAAATCCTAAGTTCTCTGCTCCCAGTGTGAGTGGATTCCACGGCCATTACAAGACCAGGGAAACCAGGGTGAAGAACAGAGCCTATGGCCACCTGGTAAGGCTGAGTGGTGACACAGAGGCCAGGACCAAGTCTTCAATTACTCCAAGAGCACATGGCTTTGTGACAGCATTTGCAGTGCCAATATATTTTCATGTCTGTGGCCTCTTCCTCCCAAGGCCTGTGTGTTCCTAACAGCAGGGATGTACCTGACCCATTGATTATTTATTTAGTTTTGGCTGTGCTGAGTCTTCACTGCTGTTGGGCTTTTCTCTAGTTGTGGTGAGTGGGGGCTACTCTCTAATTGCAATTGCAGGCAATTGCGCTGGAATTGCAATGGCTTCTCTTGTTGCAGGGCACAGGCTCTGGGGTGTGTGGGCTTCAGTAGTTGTGGCACTCGGGCTTAGTATTTACTGTTTGCACGCTGGGGCTCAAAAATTTGGGCTCAATAGTCATGGCACACAGGGTTAGTT